CCCTAATGCGAATATATCGGGAAGACGTCATGTAAATCTGCGAAAAGCTGTTTTGTAAGAAAATATGATTACAATATAATGGCTGCTTCAAAAACAGATTGGTTAATCTGATAACAATGGTGATTAGAATATATCGGATAATCAAATTGGGGTTGGTTATGATATCGGGAAATAACGGTACAGCGTGTGATCAATTTTAAGATACGAGCATTTATATAGTGGTACGCACGACAATTTGTAAACAAATTAAACCCACAAAAAAGATCAAATATATAAATAACTGCAGTCCGACTATGGTACGAAGTACAAAACACATAGTATTCATCAAGAAATGAAATACGTATAAGAAAGGATATACATACCTATCCCACGTATAAATCCATGTATAAAGACCTACACTTAACAAAGACCGATCTGCGTAAAACACGGTCGAACAAAAAATCGCACGGTAAATTAGATTTAACACCTACGCGTCAGATAAAGCTTGCTTGTCCTTGATAAATCACCTTTGCTGCAGTTATAACATGCTTTCGAGAAAACTCACCAAACAAAGAATACACACCGTGTCAGTCGTTTTTAACCCGTTCGTTAATTAACACACCGGTACAGAAAACACACCGTCGCCGAGATTTTCACCCCTAGCGATAATTATATCACCTTTCAGTCAATTTCTCACCCCTGTTAATTAACACACCGTACCTACAGATTTTAGCCTCTTCGTATTAGATTTGTTGCGATAATTAGAATTTTACCGATATTTGTAGAAATTTACTAAAACGGGAGAAAACTATACTGTAAACGTACAAATCTCACCTTTACTACTTCTCAGTGGTTATGTATTCTATTCACATCGACATGTAAAATTGTGTGAAAGAATTAGGCCACTACCTTTATAGGAATATATTTATATAATTAGGCAATAATAATTTATTGTTGCAGTTACCCATTTCGACATATTCACTATATTTTAAAGTCATAGTTTTAAACCTATATAGCTTCATTTTCAATATTTCTGGCTATTTATTATTCTATTGAGTTCCACGTTATGAATTTTTTAAAAAGAAACTATTTCAGATCAACAGTAATTTCTAATACACCTTTGATGTAATTAAAATACCTATAGCTTATGTACATAATCCATTGAGGCGTTTGTGTCGCTGACAAATTACAGTTTTTAAATAGGATACACAACACATCGTTATTAACTTAGAGTCATGACGAATTTTAAATTTTATTAAACCAAAAAGTCATCATATAACAAGACAGTGAATGTATTTGGAATTTTATTGTTCTATTCTGAAATCTATAAATTTACCTTTGGTTTATAATACACATTATACAGTTACAATGAAATTGTGTGTCCATTTATTGCCCCTAATAAAGTCTGGCAGCAGTTATATAACATCTAGGTCAACGTTGTTACAACTACAAGTTGGTGATCAGCGAAGCGTATAGTTCATGCTCTGGTGTCAGTTTGGTGATTATAATTAGAAATGTAAATTTCTACTATGTGAATTGGAAATTCCTTTTAATAATTAAAAAACAAATCCCCCAAAAAAAACATCCAAACAAAAAATAATTTGTTAATATTATTAGAAAAGACTTTAAATTTTCCACAAAGATTTTTTTTTTTTTTTTTGGAAATATGCTATAGCAAAATATCATAGTCCTATGATTTAGCATTAGTCCATGTACGCCGTTATAATGTCGGCATAGTAGCACAAGCATTTCTCTTTTTCAATGTCATTGCGTATTTCTTGGCCTTATATTTCTTTGAATAATTTGAATAACAACTTGATAACGCTTCCCTGTCTTCGCCCTGCCCAGTCTTAAATTCCACCCATTGACTATGTTTCTTTTAAAACCCCATAAAATTCCACAAACTATCATTATTGGAGCCAATATGCGTGTAGCAGTAGCAGCAAATGTCTTGGCTAATACCAATTGCCAATTCGATGAAAAATAAAGCACACAATTACGATTTAATTAAAACATTTAATCATGAACGCATATAAACATCAATATGTGACAACAAATAATGGTATTGCTTATACTCTTTATCTTGTCTAGTTCATTTCTTACAACATGATTACAACATAATATAATGACTTGGACAGTTTTTTCGTTTCAGATACTAACCGAATTTTCCTATGAGAAAAAAAATGAAATGAATATAATATAATATATACATATTATGTATAAGCTTTATTTAAATGAGATGCTCGAAAAGTGAACCACACATTTATCCATTGCAATAAGATCAAAATTGAATATACCACAGTATTCACGCACATTACAAAATTGTCCTTTTTGTTGTACTTATTGAAATAAACTGTAACATTTCCAACCAACTTTATCAGCTAATCCATTCGAGCACGAGAAACAGCTCGCCTCTCAACATCAAAGAGCAGAGCTAACTGTGTGTGCCTGTCAACATCAAAGAACAGTTCCATGTAAAAAGTGTGCACGATCGGACACAGAACCTGTGGTTTCTTAGTACTGTGGACTAAATTAGTATTTTGATGAGATTTGAAATATATGTTTAGATCCCAAAGATCTCGGTCCCTGTCGATATTCGCGCATATCTCACCGTAACTTCGTGGAATATGGTCCCCGATTTTACGAAAAATCGCGTTTTTAGCTTGAAGTTCTTCTAGATGTCATAATTTTTATCCGATTATAAAAACCGTTTCAATATATCACCGTTACGCCTTAATGATGACTAAGTTTGAATTTCATGAAAATCGGACCGAAACTGCTCCTCATACGCAAATAGTGTAAAAAATATGTAATTCCAAGAGTGTGGACACTCTAGAGAACATAATTTTTTATCCGATTTTGATCAAACTTAAAATGTATGTTTATTTTGCAAAGATCTCGGTTCCGTTCGATATTCGCTCATATCACACCGTAACTTCCTGAGTTATGACCCCTGAATATACGAAAAATCACGGTTTTTTAGCTTGTAGTCCCCCTTGATGTCACAATTTTTATTCAACTTGATGAAACTTTTATATATACTTTTATATCCCAAAGATCTTGGTTCCTTTTGATATTGTCGCATGTCAGACTGTAAAATACTGGATGATGGCCCCTGATTGTACAAAAAATCGCTTTTTATTTTGCTTGTTTTCTGTCCATCTCTTCAAAAATGTGGGCGTATCTTGCATGGCAACCGCTTATTCATTATTTAATTCCCGTATGGTATTCAAATTTATGTCAGTAATATTCCTACAAAATTACGTGCTTTCGTAATACGATAGAATGAAATTTGCCGATCCGTGCCTGCTTCAATCAAATTCAAGGCAGTAATATTCCTCCAAAATTACGAGTCTTTGTTTATACGGCAGCAAATGAAAGAAAGATGTCCGAAATGAGAATTACTTGTGGTGATGTCAAATCATTTTCGTAAAATGGTATTTTAAAATTACATTGATAGTTAAATCGCTTCTAAAAGGCATACAGAACTTTAGCATATGGCGTACGAAACCATTAACATATAACACAGACAGTAGTTTCGTAGTAAGCACTGCCTTATATGGTAAGCGATTTTCGTGCGATAATCGAGATCGCGGGAAAGTGCCACTGTTGATGGGAATTTATATATGGTGTCTTAAAAGAAGTAGTTTCATTACAGAAAATAAGTTAAAGGTTTAATAGGATGTTATATACTATTAGGATAATATGTGACATCAAGGATTAGTTTCTACGGGCTGTCGGTTGATATTAATGAGATTAAATTGTCCGGCAATGGAGAAACAACTGAGGTAATCACGTAGATAAGGTTGATACTCACTCTTATTGGATTGATAATTAGTCCAACAAAAGAGAAGCAATGACTTCTGTTCAAGACTAGATTGATGAAATAGCGTAGGGCATGTCCGGAATGTACGGACGAAATCCCAACACTTAAAAAGCGGAAATTCGACGCGAAAAGTGACGAATTTCGCAACTTTCGACACAAATTTTCATACTGTTGTAGGTTAGTTGACAACGATTTTATTTTTTATGTTGTTAGAACAGGTCAAGCTGCAAATAAAACAATTTCCATTTTTATCGTAAACCCTGCTCCAGTGGAGTTATCGCAATTTGAATAAAGGGTATAATTCAGGTGTCTGCAGACACGTGATTTGTATAGTGTCATGACACCTACGGAAAGAGAGGTTGCACTGGATGACTATTATACTATGGTAGGGTGAGACCCGGACTATAATCACCAACCAAAACTTAGTTCGCCATTGGTCGATTAACGGCTATAGCAATGCTACAAAAATGGTCAAAATTTGACCGGAAAATGAAGAAAATTAGCCGAAAAACGTAATGAGGCTGTATCTCAGAAACAGTTGATTTCTAAAATCGGCGATTTTGGCTGTGGATTAGGCTCAATGGGTCAACCAAACCCTGTAAATATGAACTCAATCGGCCGACCCCCACCTTCGAACCTTCTCGTGGAATGGCTCTTAACATGATTTCACTTAAATACAAACACCTTTAGAACAAAGACCCTACAAAGGCTGGTTAATTAAATCAGTGTGTGAGTGATTCCTCCAGATTGAAATCATATCATTCATCTATTAAAAGGGCAATGGGGCCTTCCATTAAACTAAAAATTTAAACTTATAAGTTCATTAAATTTCAATAAAAACTACCATTCTACAGACCTAATGCCCTGAAGCGAAATAAAAACTAAAAACCAATATTAAATGTTTTCTTAAAAGTTTGGGTTGTCATTTTATGTGTTAAGCCTACACATATTGCCTGATTTGCAAAATCTGCAATCAAGCATTATGTGTAAAAAAAAGGGTAGGAATTTTAGTCATTTAGTGTAATGTCTGGAATCTTCAGTCATTACACGTATTGCCTGGTGCTCACAGGCTCTTCGCGAAATGACTGATTCGTTTAGTCATTACGCGAAATGACTGATTACACAGATTGACTGTAAACATATATATTATGGTAGGCTACATCTTTAAATAGTTTATTTTCAAAAATTTATATAGAATGGTGAAATCGGTACGACATGATCCAGGAAAGTTTAGTGTTGCTGAAGAAAAATTACGTCCTTTTGAGAAATTATTAATGTCACTTGAAGGAAAATTATTAGATGGAATGATTTATCAGGTATATATAAATTGTTTCATGGAAATATACAGGGCACAATTCTATGGAGTACAATTCTTCTTCTGTCAGACATTTTAATCCCTTTGATGCAGGTTGATGGCATTAAATCCAGCCATCTTGGCATGTGATGTTTAATTCAAATGTGGTAATGATTTATAGTTCCATCTAACTTTATGTATTGAGTTGATATAGTTTTGTGTAGATACTAACTATATTTCATCAATATAATTCATTGATAAGCTTTGATAATCTTTTTGTTTTATAGAATTGTGTTGAACAGCAGTTTGATAATAACAATGTTAATTGTACTAAAAACCCACTATTAGCTGAAGAATTTGCTGTCAATATTCGTGATATTTTGATAGAATTAGAAGGAAGAATTGGTGAGTAAACCAAATGTTTGTATTTTATCAAGCTTAACACCTGGCTCCGAGTACAGTAATAAGTTCACATTAAACATTATTTCCGAATGCAGTTTTTATATGCCCAAATTGAAATGTCAGGCCCTTGATCACTTTGAAAAATCTTGTGAAGCTCTAGAGGCTTAAGTTATCATCCGATGGACTTCAGATTGATACACATAGTCTAAGGTCTTGAGACAAACAAGTATATTGATTTTCAATCAATTTTGATAACTTGAACAGCTAAATCCATGAAAGTAAATGTTTTGTATACTAAATGTTAGCATGGGGCAGAAACTCTTGTTGACTGCCCGTACGATTTCGCTACTGTGGGCGTATGTTTCGTTGCCTGGCAACCTATCTTAATCATTTTTTGTGGTACGTTTTTGTTAGATGTTAGATGCATCAGGAAAGATGAATTTACATAAACTTTGGCCTATTTTCAAATCCATTATATCAGTATTGTATTTACTCATGTCGTACTTGGGGTAAACTATGGTTTAAACCGAATGCATCTGGAAATTTTGGGATGAAGGAGTCTTGTAAAATAAATGAAATATAATATATTTAAAACTTGCAGTTCTCAATTCTATATATGCTTAAATAAATTACTTTTCAGATTCTAGTTCCACCACTCAATCTCCTTATAACTATCAAATTATATTTTGGTTGTTTATATTTTTCAGGAGAAAATAATGAAATAGATCAACGTTATAAGTTTGTGGGTGTCTGTGGTCTCTATATTCTTCATTTTCAAATATTTAGAGTTGTTGATAAGAGATTATTCAAACAAATATGGGACATGTATAAAAAGGTATGTTTTGTTTAATTTAGTGAAAAAGTTAATATTATTTTTACTATATTAATGAGATACTTTTGTAGGATGTGAATAATGATGATGCAATGTGTATTGGCAATAATGTCCCTAGTTGTTTGGATATATATTATTAATTAGTGATGGTCTGATATGGCTACTATCGGTTTTACTGTTATCAGATATTGACACCGAAATATATCGGCCAATACAGGTACAATTACCGATAGTGGTGGATATAAAGCTATTACACATTAAAATGACCTAAATGTCATGATAATCGATGTAGATACATGTCATTGTTAGTCAGGAAACACCTGGTACTATTTTACTTTGGGGAATCAAACGAACACAATGTTTTTTGAAAGAATAACTGGGTCACACTTCCTACACAGTCAAAAATACAACCCATCTATTATAAACTTAATTATTTGCTGCATGATTACTTGACAAAGTCGAGATAATTGTCTCCCGCCTTTCGAAGAAAGCAGGGGACTATTAAAATCTGTCTGTCCGTCCGTCCATCCGTCCGTCACACCTTTTGGGATACAATAACTCTCCTTCCAATTGAGCTAGAATGTTCAAACTTGGTGGAGGTGTTTATTAGGTCAATGCCTTGATGGAGTTCTAAGATGAGCATTTTCTGCTTAGGTAAGCATAGATAAGCAATTTGATAGGTTGATGCTTTGGGACACGATAACTTGAGTTCTAATTAATTGAGAGTGATGAAACTAGGTGTATAGTTTCATTACATCAATACCTTGACTAAGTTCGATAATGAGCATTTTCTGTTTAGGGTAAGCAGAGCGATAAGCAATTTGATTGTCCGAGACTTTTAACACAATAACTCTCATTCTAATTGAGTTTCCAACCTCGTGGGTTTTCTCTGGGTCCTCCGGTTTCCTCCCACTGCTAAAGACCCCTACGCACAGGCGAATTATTGAAATAAAATTAAACCATATGTTAGTCCCGAAATGATCTAGTCTGTGTTAAGTGGACTTGGTGTATAGCTTTATTACATCAATACCTTGACTAAGTTGGATAATAAACATTTTCTGCTGAGGGTAAGCAGAGCGATAAACTATTTGATTGGTCGAGACTTTGGAACACAATGACTCTGCTTCTAATTGAGGTAGAATGTTCAAACTTAATGTAGGCATTCATTAGGTGAATGCCTTTATGGAGTTTGATGATGAACATAATTGTCTGCTTACTGTAAGCAGAGATAAGCAATTTGATTGGTTGATGCTTTAGGACACGATAACTTTAATTCTAATTAAGTGAGAGTGATGAAAATCAAACTTGGTGTAGAGTTTCATTACATCAATACCTTGACTAAGTTCGATATAGAGCATTTTCTGCTCAGGGTAAGCAGAGCGATAAGCAATTTGATTGGCCAAGACTTTGGAACATAACAACTCTGCTAACTGAGGTAGAATGTTTAAACTTGATGTAGATGTTCATTAGGTGAATGTCTTGACTGAGTTCAATGATTAACATTTCAAGCAGAAGCTAAGCATAGCTCATTAATTTCATTGGTCGATGCTTTGGGACAAAATAAACTTGATTCTATCTGATAGAGAGTGATGTAACTTAGTGTATAGTTTGATTGCTCGATACTTTTGAAAAAAATAAATGTGGGATTCATTAATATGTGTCATCTATTTATTTTGGAATTTCGGCTGGGGACATCAGCCTCACTGTTGGCTTGTTTTTTTTTTAAAAATAGAACGCAAATAATATAGTCCTTCACGTTGGCAGCAGTGTTCACAGTAAATATAAGTATAACTTTTAAAAAGAAATATCGCCCCAAATGACGGTCACTTCATGGCTATCGGCATTTGACATTTCTATGGCGGGAATTGTCTTCTTTTCTTCATTGCGTCGAAAATAAAAATATATAGTTCAAATCTTCGACAATGTAATATTCCTCTATGTAGCTTGTATCAAATCCTAAAAGTTTTGATTCAATTTAGCTTTCTAAAGTCTAGAATTATTATCCATAAGTTTTGTGGTATAGCCTTCTGGAAGCGTGTCCAAGATGGCATCCGACACGCTTGATCTCGGCTGGAGTATACGTATTCTTTGCATCATAATGTCAAAAAAAATATATAAATAGTTGATTCCTTCGACATTATCATATTCCACAATATGCCTGGCAGTAAATCATAAAAAATCTTGATTCCATTTCACTCTCCACATCATAAAATTATCAGCCGTAAGTGACACTGTGAAAAAATTGGAATAATGCTAAAGTCGTTGACGCAGTGTGAATTTTCACCTCTGACCTATTACGTAAATACCGGAAAATCCTTTGTTGAAACGTATGTTTTTTATTCGATAATTAACGAATATAACATTACTTTTCATTGGGTGTTTTATTTTTATTACTCAATCACCATTAATTTAAGAAGTAAAAGCAATAGAAATCAGTTGATTGATCTGGTGCTTTTGTTCGCTAATGCCGTTGCCAAGTATGATGTGTCCTCGTGTTGATTCGCTACCGCCAAATGACAGGTGCAAACTGATTCGCACTCGTCAAAAATGGGTTAATTGAGGTAGAATGTTTAAACTTGATGTAGATGTTCAAGGTGAATGTCTTGACTGAGTTCAATGATTAACATTTCGAGCTAAAGCTTAGCAGAGCTAAGCAATTTCATTGGTCAATGCTTTAGGACAAGATAACTTTGATTCTTTCTGATAGAGAGTGATGGAACTTAGTGTATAGTTGATAATCAATTTGATTGCTTGATACTTTTGAAAAAAATAAAGGTGCGATAAATTAAAATGTGTCATCTATTTATTTTGGGATTTGTCATGAGACAAAGAAGCCTATTGATTTTCAGCGATTTCCGATAATTACTGCCAGAGTTATGGCCCTTGATCACTTCAAAATTTCTTGTCGACGCTCTAGATGCCAAAGTTAATCTCCGATTGACATTAAATTTATACAGTGTTGAAGGTCATGAGATGAAGAAGCCTAGTGATTTTCAACGATTTCCGATAATTACTGCCAAAGTTATGGCCCTTGATCACTTTGAAAAATCTTGTGAAGCTCTAGAGGCTAAAGTTATCATCCGATTGACTTCAGATTGGTACAATTGATTTTCAATGAATTTTGATAACTTGAACAGCTAAATCCATGATATTAAATGTTTCGTGTACTAAACGTTAGCATGGGGCACAACTTTATAAAAACCAAACAAATTCTAGTGATTTTCTGATAATTACATAATGATTTGTTACTCTTAATCAAATTTTAGTGTATTATAAATATTTCATTACTGAAAAAAGTAAAAATATGCGACAACTCTTGTTGACTGCCCAGACGATTTAGCTGCTGTGGGTGTATGTTTCGTTACCTGGCAACCTATCTTTAAAGTATGAAAAAGGCCTTCGTGATGTACTGCTGCATTCTCCAATTCTATAATTTTGATCATCATGCTATGGGCTCAGTCCATATTCAAGTCAGAAGTTTTATCGGGTGGACTGTTGTACGTTAATGTCTATTTGCACATGCGCAGAAATGGTATTCTTAAAAAAAAAAACGCATGTCTACCCAAACTCTAAACAATGTATGAATAAGGATTAAAAAATAATGTAGACCAGTAACGATTTTGCACTGTTTATTCTTCCTTTTTATGGCCTCTATGAGATTATTGTATTATGACTAAACAGCCATGGAGGCGGCAACTAAAATAAAGGTAACAAATGTCAAGCAAAAATAATGATTTATTTACAACTCGAACGATATTTTAAAAGTATCTACCGAGTCCTTTTGAACAGATATCGGCGACTCTATTATCGGCAAAATGGCTGAGGATTGACTGATACCAATTTCTACCGATAGACCAATTAACCATATTATAGATACATGTACATCTGATGGGTAATGTCTTTAGTCATTTAGTTATGTTGATGTACCACATGTACATCTGATGGGTAATGTCCTTAGTCATTTGTTATATAGATACCATGAGCACATCTGATGGGTACTCATTTGAGATATATTATAGATACCATTATTTGTACTAAAGATACCATGTATACATCTGATGGTTAATGTCTGTATCTCTGTTATAAATTATTGGTATATATTATGTCTCCATCTGATGGTAATTACTCATTTGATATAAATTGTAGATACCATGTGTACATCTGATGGGTAATGTTGTA